ATTTAACAACTTGGCTAATGTATTGTACTTATACGTAGTATATTTAGCATAATTTTATTTTTATTAGTCATTAAAAATATTTTCTGCAACAATTATATATTTAAATAAATTATAAAGTAAATCCTGTTTAAAAAAATAAGTGTTCCCTTCCTCTTCAGTTTCTATTAACTTTCATTCTTGCCTGTAGTCTAGCTTTGTAAACATGTGACATAATTATCTAATATGTAGTTAATTAAATCACTTCAGTTTCAGCTTTCATAGATGTTGACCTTATTATAATAGCTCGAAAAAAATATATATATATAAAGCAGGGTTCAATTTGGTATGATTTTGTACTRAAAAGTCCTTGAACGCAGCGTGAAATGTGGCACTCTAAAGCCTGAGCCAGTTAAGCGGTCTGTGAAGGTACCATTGCAGACAGAAGGTCCTGGTCCGTGAAGGTTACACCGCAGCTTTACTACAGAGGCTCCTGGTCCTTGAATGCAGCACCGCAGCTTTACTACAGAGGCTCCTGGTCAGTGAATGCAGCACCGCAGCTTTACTACAGAGGCTCCTGGTCCGTGAATGCAGCACCGCAGCTTTACTACAGAGGCTCCTGGTCCGTGAATGCAGCACCGCTGATTTACTACGGAGGCTGGTTGTTGACAGAGTTTAGATGTGATGATGCAGGAAGGTGTGAACTTCTCTAAAGACAGGATGAACAGCTGCTCTGCTTACATTTAACACCTCCCTCGTTTTGGCGGGTTTATTTAAAGTTTTCTATTCTTTTGATACGGCTTTTTTATTTTATTTATTTATTCTTTTTTTAGTTCTGTAAATATTGTATTTTATTGGACGGCAGGGTGCCTATTTAAAAAAAAAAGAAAAAAAAAGTCGGCACCGTGTGAAACCCAGACATGGCAGAGGGACCGCCCGTCGACACTGACCCGGACTTCGAGCCTCTCTCCCGGCCGCGCTCCTGCACCTGGCCGCTGCCCCGGCCGGAGCTCACCGACCCGGCCGGTTCCGACACATCCTCCCCGGCACCGTCCGTGCAGCAGGAGCCGGCGGGAGGAAACGCCGAGTTCAGCAGCAGCAGCAGCCTCGGCTTGTTGGAGGAGGACTACGGAGAGTTCACCGAGCAGAAWCCGCCTTTCTTCTCGTGTCAGGAGAGAAGCTGCGCGCACCTGCATCCCCATCATCCCCACCATCCTCCTCCTCACCACCCCCAGCTGCAGCAACAGGTGTCTCCTTCAGGGGTCCCCGCACTGGGTGGGTCCGGGCAGAGGAAGATCAGCTCGTCCCGTCGGAACGCMTGGGGCAACATGTCGTACGCGGACCTGATCACCAAGGCGATAGACAGCTCACCTGAGAAGAGGCTGACCCTGTCCCAGATCTACGACTGGATGGTGAAGAGCGTGCCTTACTTCAATGATAAAGGAGACAGCAACAGCTCTGCAGGCTGGAAGGTCAGTGTGTGTCAAAAACATGACCTGACATGATCTCTGCGTGTCATCCAGAGCTTCATGTGCAGCCAGGTGCAAAACTGGGGGCACTAAGTTTAAAATTAAATAGTTATAAATGTCACTAACACAGTTTTTTGTATTTAGCTGCCTTTCCACTAACATTTTATTGTATTTTACCTAACTTTTCTTGCAGTTTGCTATTTTATTAAATGTTAAAGAATGTCAACATTAAATCCTAAATCTAAGTGTAAAAGTTAAACCTTTAAATCTATTTCAGAATGGAACTCAGCCTTTGTTGTTGATGCTGTCTCTTGTTGAGACGTCATCATCCCGAGACGACCTAATGCCATTAACGCTGCTAACACTTTACTACAAGGCATCAAACTTGCAGTTGCAGCCTGTGTCTGAGCTGCATTCCAAACTGGTCCACCTCCATCCGTATTGTTTTCGATGTCCRCTGCAGATAATCAGTTGCATCCAACACAAAAAATGAAATAACTCACTCGGTTTCGTGAACATTGACCTAAAATTCGGTGCAGTGGTAGCTGAGAGCCATTCCCAACCCACACCCTGAGGGCGTGCAGATGGTGTGAGATAATTGTTGAAAACTTTATCTTAAACTGTTGAGACAACTCTTTCATGTGTTTTAGCCAGAGCCGGCACTTGGCATAGGCGAACTAGGCGGTTGCCTAGAGCACCATCTGCTGGAGGGGGTGCCAAATTGCAGAAGAAAAAAGTAATTATTTGTAATCCCTGGTTGTAACTCTGCTCAGCCCCCCTTTCAATTATTTTTGTCTTAAAAACTATAATGA